TTAGGTTAAAAAAGTTCTAAGTACATATGTGTATGAACACACACACACTAATGAGGTCAGGAAAATGCTTTGGAACATATAATGTTAGAGCATAGTCTTCAGAAGCCTCAAAACCAGTATCCTCAGGGCAGAGCTATTTGCATAGCTGTATCAGACCACAGAGGTTTCCCTTTAAACAAAGAAAAACCTAGAGCCCCTGTTGTAGCTGGCTGCGGCCTAACAGGAAATGTTGCTCCCACTGATTGTGCATGAAGAGCGGGTGCAGTAAGGCGGGCATTCCCATGGCAACAAGACACATAGCCAAAAGATGGTAAGATCCAAATACATAGATATATCCAGGACAGAGCCGAGCACTTAAGCACATGGATTCAGAAGCCAGGCAGACCCCGGTTTGAATTTCCTTGGGCTGCTGGCTCAGGGCTCTTGGGTAATCTTATTAACCTTTATTTTCTTCATTTGCAAAATGGGGGTAAAGCTGCCTCACATGGTTATTGCGAAAAATAAGTGAAAAATCTGTGTGGTATGTAGCAAAGTTCTTGGCATCTATAATAAACACATTAAGTTCATCTCTTATTATGAAAGGAAAGTTTAAAGTGGCAGTTAAGAGCATGAACTCTGGGACTTGGGGACCAGCCAAACTGGGCTAGAACCCCAACTCTGACAATTCTTAGCTGTGTGGAATCATCACCTCGAATTGTCACACTTCACCTCTCTGTGACACGATTTCTTCATCCATAAAATGGGAATGATATGATATAAATCTCCTAGGGTTGCTATGAACATTAACTGAGTTTATATCTGCCAAATACTCAGATGGTGGTAGCAGACAGGCAGTGTTTGCTCTCGCAGCTGCAGGGCTCCCCTCAGCTCACATCAATGTATAAGGGGCCTCCTTTGCTCACATTACTCAACGAACAGCTGTTTACAGAGCACCCATTATATACAAACATGGAAGTAGGTGTTAGGGGGATTAAAAAAATTGTAAAACACAGACATTTTTCTGAGCCCAGAAAACACAAACCCTAAAATAGCATGGTTAATAAGTTCAACCAATAGAGTATACGACTATTGCTAAATTCCTAGTACGAATAGATGATTGAGAAATTCAGACGCATAAGGTCTGCCATGGAAGTAGAGGGAATTACAAAGGGTGTGGGGGAGCTAAGGCATTAAGCTGGACCTTGAGGGAGGCATAGAATGAGGGGGTCAGCCCTGGCAGGTGTGCCTCGGTTGAGCATTGTCTTGTGCACTGAAAGGTCACCAGTTGGATTCTCTGTCAGGGCACATGCCCAGGTTGTGCGTTTGGTCCCGAGTCGGGGTGCATATGAGAAGCAACCCAATAGACAGATGATTCTCTCTCTGTCTCCCTCTTCCTTCTTCTCTTTAAAATCAATAAAAACATATTTTAAAGAAAAATAAGAATGAGAAAGCCAGAGACAAGAAACAGAGTGTTCTAGGTCTTGGGGTGCATGAGCAAGAGGAGTTTCCACAAGCATGATGGTCTTCCCAAGGATGAGTGAGGTGGGTGTATGTCTGGAGTGGACAGTGGGCAAAGGGGAAATCAGTTAAGAAAGGCAGGTGGAGGCCAGCTCGTAAAGAGCCTTAAATGCTAGGCTATAGCTTCAATGTCTAAACTGTAGGCAGTGAGGATGCAAGCAGTTTACTAGTAATTTTTACCTTTACTGTTGATAAAAAAATTACCCACATTTTTTTTTTTAAAGTAGAAATGCAAACATAAAGGCCCCACTGCACACTTACGAAATCAGAACCCCTGAAGCGGAGGCTCAGGCACATGTTCAGTGAAAGAATTCCACAGGCCATTCTGACAGAGACCAAAAGTTGAAACCCACTGACACGGAGCCTATGGAGATTACGTTCTCAAAAGCCAGCACAGGGAATTTGTAATTGAGTAAATTAATACCTTATGCGCAAAAATAACCCTATGAAATATATATGAAAGATGTAAATGTATTTATACTTTATGAGTGAAAAATAATACTATAGAATTCATTGCTGGCACATAGTAAATGTTCAATAAATATTTATTTGTTAAATTTAAAAAATTGGATTACTATGAATGGCTTATATGGCAGAGGAGTGAGAAGAAAGGGGGCTAGGATTTGCTGGGTGTCCATACACACCAGGTAACTTACAGGTAGCGTTTCATTTAGTCCTAACAAGAGCCCTACGAGGGGGACATTATTATTCTCATTTTAGGGGTAAAGAAGTAGATACTCCTATATGATGGAAATGCAGTAAGTCACAGACTGGGCATTCAAACACATGTGCCAGCTCTAAACCATGGCATTTCCCACTGTATCAAACACCACCACCACCCCAAACAAAAACAAAACACTGTTCCCTTGAAACTTAACTAAGCAGCAAATATTGTATCATAGACACTCTCTTCTCTTTCTCTCCTCCCTCAGGGTCTAAATTTTACCTTCCCTCTGCCCTGAAACTGAGCCAGAGTCACTGAGAGCTATCATCTCAAGTTGTTTTTTTAAAGCAAGCTTCTCCTTTCTTTCTCTCCCTCCTTTCCCCTCTGACATCTCCTAATCCACTCTACTCAGTTTTGAAATTCATTCAGAGAGCACAAAATGGAACCTGAAATCTTAAGTAACTCCTTTTGTGGTTTTCTTTTTACTGGAAGGCTGACGTGGGGTGACGGCAGAAAGGATTTGTTTATAGCGGGCTCACCCAGAATCCTAAGGAAATGATGCCAGTGCTCTGGTTAATGCTGGGAAACGGTCGTTATTTTCATCTAAGCAAGTTCTTCATTCTGCTTTTGAAAGTCATCCCCAGATGACTGCTGGAAGAAGTTTAGCTACTGTCTGTGTGTCTGTCTGTGTCTGTGTCTGTGTCTGTGTCTGTGTCTGTGTCTGTGTGTGTCTACCAGGGACACTTCACAGAGGTTCAGATATAACATCTATGCCTATTCTGTAAACATCAACTTTGAAAAGTCACCCCTTCGTTCCACCAGGAAGAATTAATTGCTCGTGTTAGGAAGCTGTGATAACGCTTTGAATTCTCTGCAGATCCTAGGTACAAAGACACAGATTGTGTAATGAAAATCCTAAGGAGTGACAATAACCTAGACTCCAATGTGAACAGTGCCCCTGGAGTTGAGCAGAGCACATCCCACTCAACCATATACAGTGGCCCTTTAGAGGGAAACTTCTTTTTCCCTGATGCAAACAGTTTTCTGTATCCTTAATAGTTAATGGCCATTTACAGACTCTTTCTCTTGTCTGAACATTATAATCAAGGTCTGATAAATTAAAAATCAGTGATACAGGCTTATCTTATGGCTTATCTGTATTTTCTCCATATTTTTATTATTCTCTAGAACAGACTGCCTTTGTTTAAAAAAATCATAGAGTCATTGGGATAACTTGAGAGATTAGAGATGTTGTTATCCTCGGTAGATGAGAGTGGGTTGTAGAAAAGGAGAGTCATTAATGGGAGGCAAAACATCAGAGTCATCACATCAAAAAGACGCTAAACACAGTCATATTTATTTGAAAACATAAAGTGGACCCCATATTAATAAATACTTTTAACAGTGAATGTAGAAAAACTGCTGTGCATGTTCTAAGAAAACAGTTTACCACAGAATCAGAGAAAAGGGAGTCTTTCACCCGTAGGCCACTGATTAAAACATCCTGGGAGTCGGAATAGCCTCACGGATATTATGTGAAAATGGGGGAGAGGAGGGAAGAGCGTTGTTAAAATCAGGAAGAATTTTCTACTCTCCATTCCTCCCTGGGGCCTTAAAATTAAAAATCTGAAATTGGGAAATACACCTTCCCACAAATCCCAGTTTTGGATTAGAATCACTGGTTAGTGGACATGACCAAAAACTGGAAACAGGTGCCCAGTTTGAATCTAGGTCAGATTAGTCTGGTTGAAAATGGGTTCACAGGGGCCTCGGAGGCCAAGCAGGAGCTGCTACAGTTTATGCTTAAAGCTCAGGCACCATCACAGTGTCATTCACTGGGGAACTGAAAGCACCAAACGACCTTGGCGGCCACCTCCGCTAGCTCTGTCTGCCTGAGGCCCCTTCAGTGCTGTCTTCGTACGAGCCCATCATCAAACCTGCCTGCCTGCGGCCGGCTCCGGCAGGCCCTGGAGCTGGGGCTGGCGCCGCACCTTAGCCAGGCGGCTGTTCAGGCCCCTCGCCTAGGGAGAGAGCCACTTTGTTTTTTCTGCAAACACTCAAATGAAGCACTCTCAAAGATCTGGAGTTCCCCACCCTAATCATAATAAATGACAGAGAGACGCTCCTGAAAGGGACAAAGGATGCCCCCTCTCAGCCTGCTCTGAGCGGCCTCAAGGCGTAGAAAAGGCCTGGCCTGCTCCTGGCTCTCTCGGGCCCTTTTCTCAGAAGACACAAGAACTTTCCAGGCTATTGTAAGTGAAAGAAGGCTTCGCCCTGCACTGCTGGCTCTCAGGAAGTTTCTGGGCAGAAGGAGGAAGGAAGAAACGAGGTCTTCATTTTGATATATAATCTTGTGGCGAAGGGCAAGACCAGGAGGCAAAAAAGAGCAAGAGAGGTTTATGCCGCGTCCTTTCAGCACAGGCTGAAGCAACGCTCAAGGGCAGAGTGGTCTCGGGTCCTGAGCGACGAGGGCAGCCAGGAAGGGCACCAGCTGGACAACTGTGGATATTAGAATCACAGGCTGTGGGTTTTAAGCTCGGGAGGACCTCGAGGGTCTCGCTTCCCTTTCCAGAAGAGGAACCTGAGGCCTGGGAGATGAAGCGGTGTGCCGCCCCACATGGCACCATCTGCTCTATCTGCTGGGGGGACACGGAGCGTGGCAGAGACTTCAGTGAGCCGTGTGATGGGTGCAGCGTGGCATGTGGTTAGTTACATTTAGATCCCCCGCGGATGAAAGGTCCCCACCCCCGGGCCCTTTCTTGTTGATGTGTCGCCAGAAGTGACAAGATCCTGGACCGAGCTTATTGGTGGGGTTCCCTCAGGAGGGTGATGAAGAGATGCAGGTGTGTCCTCACTTCCCAGTCCGGGAGGCCACCTGGATGGCTTTGATCCACTCGGTGCGCTCTTTGGGGGTGGCCGCTTGCAGGAAATAATGAACTTCATCGGCCGTGATGATCTCAAAGAGGTTCTCTTCTTCAGTCTTCCTGGCTGCTGGAAGAAAACATGAGTGACAGTGCACATGGGCACCGGGAAGGCCGCCAGTGCGCCTTCCTTCTGCAAGGAAGGAGCTCCCTATTTTTTGAGTATTCTAAGAAAATCAAATACATGTGGTTTTCAAATTTACCATCATTATAGGATCACATATATTTATTAGATAACTATATATAGTATTTATATGGACAGGTACATAGTATGATCGTGTGTACGTGTGTTTAAGAATAAGTGAAACTCTCAAAGGGAGACATTTTCTTTTATGGTTTACAAACAAACTAAATTTCTCACTTTTGCATACCAGTAGTGTTCAGTGAGTAACCTCTAATAGCGTCTAATGAGTATTTCCTCTACTCATTATATAAACCAATACATTTTTTAATTTGTAAATAAATTAATTCATAAATATCCAGGCCCACCACCAGTACCCCACTCTAGCCTGAACTTGTTTTTATCAAGGGCTAAGTTAGAGTCTCTGCTGAAAGATTGGAGGCAGTAAACTGGCCAATACCGTGATAAGGCTTAAGACATTCGCCTCAAATCATAAAGCAAGATGCCCCCTACCCCAAATGAAAGCAGAAGTCTATGGGGAGAGGAGAGTGAGCAGGGGTAGTAAAAAATAATCTAGGCTCTTGCAGCTGTAGTGTTTTCCTGTCAGTCTCTATGACATCATAAACCCAAAGTGACAAGGCAAAAACCAGGGTTTGGATGTCTAAACCATGGTGATATCACCCATCCCCACATAGGAGAAGTCAATCTACAGCAACATGCTCATGCCATGCACCAAATCATAGCCTTGTGATCTGGGACCTGGAGGTTATCTGATGCAAACCCATCGTTCTCAGAAGAACTAAGGCCCAGGTTAGTTAGGTGGTTCACCCAAGGCTGCGCCACTAACTGACTAGCACAGATTTAACTATAACCCAGGTACACCTTCCACTCACTGCACAAATGTTCCTTCGGTTGTGGGAGATTTCCTGGTCTGTAAAAGGCTCCCACTGGGGAATGGCATGGCTCTGTTACAGGCATCAGGAGGTAACAAGTTTCTCCATTTAAGCCAGTTCTGCTGTGAAGGATTTTTCTTAGCATTGCTCAAAGATTTACCCAAGGCACCCACAAAATCTCTCCAACTCCCCAAGGACCAGAAGGCCAGTTGAGAAAGAATAGCTCTTGGTTTCTCTCAGGTTTTCAGACAGAAATTGATTCATGCTTATGCCTGATTAATTGAATATTTGATAGCTGTTGGCTCAGGATGCCCATGTATGGGAAGGGAGCCTAAGTAGACACATTGCCCTCAAACAAAAATTCATTCTTACCATCTGGGTTGCTCTCCACTGAAGTCACCACACAGCCTCGCAAATGAATTGCTCCCAGGGGATCTTCCCCCTAGAGGAGAGAGGAGTCCTTCGTTAGGTTTCCAAAGTACAGGGTATGGATATGCCTTATCCTGTTGGTGCAAAAGCTACACAGACTCATTGTGGTATACATCCGTGACCCCCAAAACAGATAAGAGCAGAAGGAGATTAAAAGAAACCCCTTCCAGGTCCTCCACCCCCCACCTCACCCAGGGAGGCATGATGAGGAGACATAAGTCAATCTGAGCTTCATATCTGGAGAAAGTGGGAGGGGAGGTGGAAAGGCTGAGTCATCATGTCCCACAAGAGAAGAACTGCGGTTTTCCGGAGCTCTTTTGCCCCATGAGACTAACCCTCACAGGAGGGAATCAAAGAGTCTGCACCACCAGCAGAGGCTGGGGGCCCAACCCAGATGGAGTTGTCCTTACACTTTAGAACTGGCTCATTTTACTGAGGAAAAGCCCCCTTCTGAATATTCAACCATCTAAGTGCTTAGATTGGGGCACTTGGAAAACAATGCTTTCATTTAAGTTAGCCTGGAACAGAAATGATCGCTTTTTTGCATAGTCAACTGAGAGCAAAATGTTGAACTGGTTGAGTCCCTTTGAACATATTAGATTGGAGCAAACAAAAAAAATTATGTTGAGTTGACTAATAAATGACAATTTAGTGATATTTTCTTCCATCCTTAAGCTTATGACTCAAAGCCTAAGGTCTCTAATCTTTGCAAATAAGAGGGGGTAGGAAAAGGTAGAGAAGGGTGACAGGAAAAAAAGTGGGAGGGTGAAGAGGAAAAGGGGAATGGAAAGCCCCATGAACAGATGCAATGGAGGCTGCCAGTAGGATGGACTTATTGACCACAAAATCTCACCCCAGCAGGGTCATAGTAGTGCAGATATGCAGGGTCCTCTCTGAGAATGAACTTCCTCACTTTCCAGTTTTTCCTCCTGTGCCCCTGTATCCAGCATCAACAAAAGAAAAGAAATGATGAGTTCTTGGCATCACTCTGTACACGTAGCACCTACAAAATAAATCTTTGTTGAATTGAAAAAAAAGAAAAAAAAAAGAAACACTAATTCCAGGAGAACTAGGCCCTCACCCAGATCTTTGTCAGAGAGAGAGCACTGTGGCCCGTGAACAATTTGGATACTACTAAGCTATGGGTTAAATTATTCCTACGATGGCCTTCCAACATGGTACTATATAAGGCAGTACTATATGTGTAAAAAGTACTATGTTAGGTAATGTGGGGGCTATAAAGAGATTTAAGACATGGCCTTACTCTTCATAGAGTTTATAGCCTAGGTGGAAAAACACAATAGCTAATGCCCAAATCAAATAATTGGTATAGATAATGGATTTCAAAAAAATTAAATGAGAAGTATGTAATTCAGAGTTTGGATGTCAAAGAAAGTCTTATGCTTATCCATGTGGGCAAGAAAGAGGTAGATGAGAAGACCACTGACAACAAAAAAGCAGTGGGAATGCACAAGGCATATTCAGACATTGGTGAGCAAGAGCAGTCTGACTAGAAGGCCGGGGTCATGAGGAACAGTCGAGGCAAGGCTGGAAAAGTGGAGAGTGGCTTAGAAAAAATGAAAGCTGGGGTTGTCTCTGAGTCAGAAGTCAAAAGGCTACAGTCACATTTTAGCAAGATTAATGTGGTGGCAATTTACAGAGTGGTCCAGCTGGTTAGATTAAAGATAAGCCAGGTGCATACTAATAAGGTAAAAAGGAAGTCATTAAGAAATTATTGTGTCTGCCCGGGGGGCTCAGCGGCTGAGCATCGGCCTAGGATTTAGGGGATGTAGGTTCGGTTCCAGGTCAGGGCACAGACAGGGTTGTGGGCTCCATCTCCAGTAGGGGGCGTGCAGGAGGCAGCCGGTCAATGATGACTCTCTCATCATTGATGTTTTTCTCTCCCTCTCCCTTCCTCTCTCTGAAATCAATGAAGACTTTAAAAGAAAAAAGAAGAAATTATTACAACAATTTAGGCATAAAATTATCAGGGACTAGAGTTAGGTAGCAGCAAAGGAAATGGGAAAGAACAGTTGCTGTGCCAGACATGATGAGAAAGAAGAATAGGACTTGGCCTCTTCCGATAGAATTAAACACTGACACTGTTTAGACTGAGTTTTGAGGGCAGAATTTGTGCCTTGTTTGTCTTTGGTCCTCCAGTGTCCAGCACTGTGCTTGGCACACAGAAGCTGCTGCTTATTTGTAATTGCCTTGAATTACCCAGTTATTTCAATTAGCTTATAGCAGTTTTTTTTTAAATGTCATGGAAAACTTGATTTTATGATTTCCCACAGAAATTCAAATGACTTAAATAACTCAGAAGCCAAAAAATTATTAGATTAAAAGATACGTAGCTTCTATCTTGCCAGTATGAAAAATATTGTTCTCTAACACGCCACACATTGATAGGCACATAAATGAGTTTTCCAGCATTTTTCATTTGCTTGTATAGAAAGCAATGAGACATTTATAACTTTAGCAAACAGTGCCTCCTTTATAATTCCAGGCCAGAGGAGTTTAAAAGGAGCTTTCACTAACGTGTCTAAGTTATTTGGCCAATCATTTGGTCAAGGTGCTCATCTCAAAAGAGTCTTTTACTTGCCTGAAGGTTGAAGCCAGGAACCCCGTGGAGCCATATGAGAGAATACAGAATATTTCTATCTGCTATTTCACGTCCAGAAGCAAAGCATCAACTTCTAAAATTCTTTTTATGAATTTCTGCTCTTTGCCTTAGTCAATGTTGCCTATAAAATGTGGACACTAAAGTTTTTGCCCACATTGTCTCATCCTGACCTGCACACACATGGCATGTGCGCCTCTGAAATTACTGGGTAAATACCAAGTTCTCATGAGTCAATGGAAGGGGAAGGAACAGGAAGATGTGAAATCAGACAGCCCTGATCGGTGGCCAGCCAGCCACCATTGAGCCCTCACTGGCATTAAAATGTGACACGTTGAAGAGTTTGACAATAGGAAATGGGCGTCTGGCTGGCCATCTTTCAGCTAATGAGTATTCCCTGAGGGACGCTAAGGAATGCATGCACGCCTGGGGCTTCCAAGAATTGTTGCTGACCTGTCAAAATCATCTACTTATACTTGATTTAATTTATTCTACAAATGCTTATTGCCTTTTATAGGCCGAGAAGGATGCTGAATTCTGCAGCACATATGAGAAAAACACATTGTCCTTCCTCATCAAAGAATCTCCATTGGTTGAGAAACCAGATGTTTTATGCATTGTCATAACAGAATTAATTCTATTAAAAAGGATTATACTGAATATACTCTAATCTCATTTGTCCTCAAATTTGTTTCATTCCCCCAAGTAGAATTATTTCCCCTGAGATAGGAGAAGTGGGGAGGGAAATGTGGGGAGGGGAGGGCCTTGACCTCCAGTTGGGCGCAGCTACTTCACCATTTAAGGCGTGGAGCACAGGTGTCCTTGTTCACGATAAGCATTCCATGCAGGCTAACCTTGGCTAACGCCCAGCAGTAGACACAGGGTGGCTTGGGTTTTGTGGCACTTAAAGAGGGAATTTTTAAAATTCCCTCAGATGACTCTGTTATGAACCAGGGTTATAAACCACTGAACTAAGAGGTTGGAAGCATTAAAGGAGCCTGTCGATACAAATAGAAGAGGAAAGAATAAGAGTGAAATTCCTGAATGCACATAAACTGCTGTTTTTGTCATGTTTATAGGAGGTTTATAAGGATGGCTATTTAAATAGTAGTGTTCTGATAATAGATTAGCTTTTAAGAAAAAGGCTAGCTCTGTGGCTGTCAGCCTTGGCCACACACCCATGGAGAGCCATAAAATCCAGAGACTCTGATTTAATTGGCTTGGGGTGTGATTTTAACAGGTCCCTGGAGGATTAAAATGTGCACCAGCCAGACCAGCTGAAGCTAAATCGTAGCTATCAAAGACCAAGTAGAGGAAGGCAAAGGAAAATATGGAAGCAAGCCTACTTCTAGTCCCCAGTGTCGTCAACACGCATTCAGACACCCATTACCCCCAGCCCCCAATTTTTGACCATCTAGGGTCTCCGTTGGGGTCCTTTGCCCAGACATGACTCTAGTCCAGCTCAGGCTTTGTTCACCCCTTTTCAATCTTCATGTTCAGTTTTCTCAGGCTTCCTCTCTAGACTAGGGCTTGTCAGATCAACTAATTCAAGAAACATCATTAATGCCCTGTAACAGTGTAGAATTATACAAGGAGTCAACAACATAAGAAAATAATGAAATTCCCTCCAAGTTACTCTTGTCTTGACGGCCTCCTCCCAGCACCTATAATCAAAGAGCAGGGAACGTAGGACTATTTGGCAGAACTGACAAAGAACCAGCTATGAGCAAACTGTCCATCTTCCCTACATAAGGTGGCCTGGTCCCTGCAATTTTCCTTTAATGTACTCACTGGTCACCCTGTCATAAAAGTTATTAGAATAGTCTGTGAAATCTTTCTAAATCTTTGCTGCTCTATTTTTTAGGACCCTGAGGGTAAGGGAGTTTACCACACTAATGCCCCACTTTCCCTAGTGAAACTCAAAATCCATATCTATATCTAATGTCAACTATCCCAAATTCCTTCTTTTTAAATATAATATATGCTCAACATTGGTTCTCCCCTCTTTGCCCTGAAAGTTTAGGGGCCCATTATGAGGTAAGTCAAATCTCAGTCCCATGCAGCCTATAGACAGCACACAAAAATCTCCTTAGAGTAACCAGATTCTCTCTGTCACATACTGAGCAGTGCCTTTAAGACAGCTCACAGCACAGCCAGAAAGTCAAAACCCTGGCTTCATAAAGCAGCTTTCACTCCTGTGACACCATGTGTTGGTATCAGCTTATCTCATCCTGAATATTCCCATGTCCCCCTGTTGCTTCTGCCTCTACCGGTGCTGGCCCCGGCCTTCTCACTCAGCCCCAGCCCTCGGATTCTCTTACCTCTTGGCCTCTCATGTCTTGGCACCTGGTAACTAACTACAGCTCTTCAGCTCACCCCAGTCCTTGCCTCCCAGACTAACAGTAGCCTATACCTGTGGGCACTTGGGAACTGCACGTGGCTTCCCCCAGGACTGAGTCCATGCCCTCCGACTGGATTTGACCTTTGCCTGCTGCTCCTGCAGAGTTGGCCTCAGGCGTGCCCTGGATTTGGTCTACTATGTCCTATCCACAGGCTGGAATGGCACTTTCTTGCTCTCAACCATATGCGATGTTCTTTTTCTGGGTGTGGCTTATTCCTGTTTCCTGGTTACTTTGCAGTGGGGAGAGGTAAACAAATGGAAGTATTTTTATTATAAAACATCTGTCTTTTTTATGGCATCTCTTAGCCAATTGATTTCCTCCAGCTAATTAAAGGGTCAATATTTTTCTTGAAACATCTCTTTTCCCCATGATATTGATAAAAGAGGAGTTTCCTTTTTCCAAGGTGTACCTTCTGCCCTGCCTATCTCGGTCCTCCTGAACTAATGCCATTTTCATCACCTACCTAGCTATTTGTCTACCTTTCACTCCATGGGTTTCATTGACTAGTTGACTATCAGCCAAATGAAGTACCATTTGGTGGTTTAGAAATAAAAAGGACCCGGTGAGAGGAAAAGGCTAGAAGAGAATACTGGTGGCCACTCACCTGCTTCAGTAAACATCCCTGCTTGATAATGACCCCTCTGAATTCTTCTTTCAGAATTACATCATCATCACTGGAATTCTCTTCACAGAAGAACCCACTGTCTGGCTATTGGGAAAAGAAATAGCAAGTTTATTGTTACCAGTCTTAGGTGTCCTGCTCCTTGGACCGTGTTCATCCCTCCTGCCCTGCCATCCCCTCTGGGGTAGGCTCCTTCTCCTCCTGTGGCTCATACCCCAACCTAAACTCGAAAGGCTGTCCTTGGTGAACTCATTTCCCCCGCCCCTTTATCTGGTTTCCAAATGCTCTTCCTCTCTTTCCACTCATGTGATCTCCTTGATATCTTTTCATTTTCTTGGGTTCCCCAAGCTCTACACATTTTAAGTCTAGCTCGGCTTGTTTCTTCATTTAAAGCCTTCCTTCTCTTTGGACCTCATGGCCACATCCTTGTACGTAAGTTGGCTAATTTATAAAACTGCACAGCAAGATCTCCACTACGATCTCCGCCACACAGGCCCTTCCACTTTGAGAAGGCCCAGAGCCCAGCCGCATCCTCTGAGGTCAGCAGGGGACCTGGACTTGCTCAGCTACAGCAAGCAATGAACCATACAGAGGAAGAGGGGCTACTGCGGGGGATATTTTTAGAATCCCACATTTAAATGGCTATAAACAACCAAAGTAGAGGTCTTGAAAATATATATACTGATGGTGGAACTTCCCCCAAAGTGAAATGAAACTCTCTCTGGGACATTCACATCATTTTTTGTAAAAGGCCTTTAAGTAACTTCCTAACTTCTGTGCTCTGACCCCAAATAGAAATAAAACTGCCAAAATCCCCCTACAAACCCACTGTTGCAGCATTTCTCACGTGCCCCAGGATTGGGTCCATATTGTGTAATATAGTGTTTCCTGATCTGCGGTCAACATATCATGCTGGGTACAAGAGAAGGTTGGAGGAGGGAATGTGGATGCACACATTTTGTATTACGTCGCATATTTTAGTGTATATTTGGGGTAAAAACAATTAGCATATTGTGATTGTATGGATCTCCCTCTGGAAAGGAAGCTCCATGAAGGCTGCATTTTTTTTTAACTGCTGTATCTCCTTTGCCCAGCATGTAGTAGGGTCTAATTAATTTTTATAAATGAATTATTGCTTAGAATAATAATAGATGTAGTAAAGTTTTAAAAGTCCTTTTAAAGAAAACTGTTGAAGTAAAGAATGTTTTCCTTTAGACTGATTCACGTGGATGTGGGAGACACTGAGCTGGGGGCAGCTGTCAAGTCAAGAACATCTAACAACTCTCGGTAGAGGGCTGGACCTTTCTTTCACATATGTGGATATCACCTGCAATCAGCCTCGGATCTGCCCCGGGACTCTCCATACAGGAAGAGCAGCTGAGTAGCTTTTCTCACTTACAAAGTAGTAGAAGGCATCGGGGTTGTCCAGGAAAGGGTTTTCAGCCGTCCCATCCACCGCGTTCTTGGACAGGTCTCCAGCGGGCTGCAGGTACCCCTCGTTGAGCAGTGAGGAGGCGATCATGAGGCCTTCCTGGCGATTCCGAACAGACTTGTTGGAAACCAGCCAGTCGATGACACAGCTGCCTGGAAAGGACCATCAGAGGGAAGGTTAACTCTCCTAATCAAACAACAAGCCACTGACGGTCACCTCTGGAAAGCCCCAGAACACTCACGTGTCTGACTTGTCTCATCTTCTTTGTTACTCCAGGAAGGAAAAACCAACTCAGTGGGATAGATACAGGAAACAAAAGGGTTTGGGTTTTGGATTTTTTTCCCCTTAAATCTACATGTTTTTTAAGAAGCAATGCATTATCAAAGAAATCACTTGTACTAACCCACTCATTTATTCCATTAACAAACAAACCATTATTGAGCACCTACTAGGTGCTAAGTACTGTGGTGGGTTTGGGGGAGATCCACTCAGGGAATCTAGAAGGCAGAGATGGGCCATAAGTAACTGTAACAACTTCTGTGCCATGGGGCAATACAATTTGCAGGAAGGTTTGGAAGATGGGGGTGGGGGAAGGGGACTGTGCCTGCACCGTTGAGAAAAAATGTCATAGAGAAGCAACAGTGGCCGAGGCTTTGAAATGAGTAGGTATTCACCAAGCACATGAAACAGGGGAGGAGAGGCACCCGCACAGGCGAGGGAGCGGCAGGGTGTACAGACTCACCCGGGCATGAAGCAGCCCCGCCGTGGGGATAAAGGAAGGAGGTGACAGAGGAAAGGCAAAAGGAGACAACGGAGAGAGGAAGGCACAGAGCGAGGGGAGAGATTTGACGGTACATCAAGTAATTTGGCAATGAGGAGCCATTGCAAGTTTTTAAACAGGAAATAACATGGTCAGATGTGTTTGTCCTAAATTAAAATTTGACATAACACTTGAAATGAATGTCACACTTTTTTTTTTTTTTGGTGGGGTCTAGCAGAGACCTTGAGAAGTCATTTAATCAACCCCTTGCTTCAAGAGAAGATTGCAAAGAGAACAAAATAAAACTGACCCATAAATTGGATTATTAGCAGTCTACAACAAAGCTTTGTATTAAAAATGATATATTCTTTACAAACATAGCCAACATAACTGGCAGCAAGTCCCTGGTCATCCAGGAGAGACTAGTAGGCTATGCCATCCTTGAAACAGGAGTGAGAGCGGTTGGTTAGTGAGCCTTCCATGACTTTTATATATGAAAGGCTTTTGCTTATTTTTCTTTCTCTAGAATGACAACTAATTAATACTGTAGTTCTGCTTTAATCCTCACAGAGACCCTGTAAAAGAGGTAAGGCAATAACTGCAGACCGAATTTTAAGGATGAGAAAATCAAGGCTCGGAGAGTGTAAGTGACCTTGGGCCTGAGTTACACCTGCAATGGGCCTTCACTTAAGTGTTCTAACCCCAGATTCTATGCTTGTTCAGCTAGGCAGGCAGATGCTTGAAAGACAGGTTCAGTCTACTCTTCCTGTCACCTGACATTCAGGTCCACCATTACGTGTCAGCAGTGCCTGGGTCCCAGTCTCTGCAATAGACTTGTGTCTCTGCTGAGACCCTCTGACTCCTACATGAAGGCTCGACCCCACCTGAATTTCTAGAACCCACCCTGACCTTCAGTGTGGAGGACTTGAGAAGTTCTAGCTCAATACTCTGAGACTCAGTAACACGTTCCACAGGAAATAAGTCTAGCCTGGACCTTGTGCCTAGATCTAGAATGGGAACCCCACCCTTACCCCCTGCCTTATTCCCTTTGTCCTAGGCTCTGCTTGGTGACTTCAGTCCTGCTAGAGTTAGGACCCTGTTCTTGTCAGTTTTCCTGACCACTGCCCAGGCTTGGTATCTTGATCCCAAATCTTAGCCTAGTCTTTTCTGATGTTAATGGGCTACTGCCTTCACTCTCTAAGGCTGAATTTTTATGGGATACTACCCTGTTACTCCAGATCATACCCTCTAACTCTCCACCTTCCTGACCTTGACCTGGACCATTTTCTGTTGACTGGATTCTGCATCTGTTCTCTCTCCTCCGTTTACCTCCCTTGACCTCTGCACTGCAGAAAGCCATTCCTGCCATCAGACAAACCTAGACTCAAACTGGACATCCCATTTTGCTCCCTGATGAACCATCAGCCCTACCAAGGTGCTCATTTACTTTTCCTGGATGCATGGTCTTCATATTTCTGCCCCATAACTTTGAACTTACCACCCTTTCTGCTCAGCCACCTCATCAGAATTTCTTCCCACAAATACTTAATGAAATTCTATCCATCTTTCAAAGTCAAACTTAGGCACGATCTTCTACTCATCCCAACGATCCTCTGAGCTCTTTCCTTTTCTTGATCTCACAGGATTTTCTTTGCAGACTTGTGACCTCTTGAGTGTAAACCACATTGAGAGCTTGCACAATATAGTACTTAGTGTGTGCCTGCCATTGTTTTAAGCACATTACAGCAACTAGATAAAGTAGATGTTTATCCCCATTTTATAAACAAGGAAAGTGAAGCACAGAAAGGCTAAGTTATTGACCTGATGTTTTACAGCAAGTAAGTTGCAGAGCCAGGATTTGACCCAAGGCAGTCTGGCTCCACAGAACACGTTTTTAACCACTACGCCATCTACCTAAACACATAACACTTACTGCCTGACCCTGAGCAGCCTCAGACATCCCTAACATTGTTGCTTAGGTCTTATAAATCTTGATTCCTGTCTATCATTTTATTCAACTTGTGTCTATTTTAACATAATGCCAATTACTGGGTGAAAAAATGACCTTTGACTGATATAGTTGGAATTTCCAAAACTATTCCTTGGACAACAAAGTTCTTTTCTACCCTTCATTCTATTTCCACTCTGGGGAAGTTCAGTTCTCATGTTCGCCGGTCTTCGTCCTATGACCTCACCTACCCAGCGTGCTCCACACGCCCCACCCCACACATAGGGCTCAGAGGGGACTTCGTGTTGCTTCCCCAGCTGCCCCGCTTCAGACTTGCACAGCCTCTTACCAGTGAAGCAGTGATTAAAAATCTTCTTGTCCTTCTCTAGGTTCAGTTCTTTTATTCCTTTGTCCGAGTCTTTCATGGACAAATACAGAGCACTGCAAAGAGATGAAAACAGGCAGGTGAGTGCAGAGCATTTGAGAACGGCAAGTCCTCACGGGGAGTCCACCTTGGAGAGCGGGCCAGGGCACAAGCTTCTCCCCTCCCGGGTGGCCCCTGCGCCTAATCTCCCCGCTGGGTCATAGGTAGTTGAAGGGCAGAGCTAATATTTGTATAACTCTGTGGCCTGCTTGGCATTTGACAAAATATACTAGGAAGGTAATTATTATTTCTTAAATTCATTAAGCTTTGTTGATTTAACTACTACTTCCTGAGTTAGAAAGTTGTCCTCAGTTAGGTGGCCAAGATTAAGGTTTTCAAGGCCAATTTTCCATACACACTGTAGATCTTCAAGGTCCCTCAATTCTCACATCCCAGTTCTTTAAGTGTCCTTCAAAACACCATCTGGAGTAGACATTTGCCTCCAAGAAAGTGAATGTTTTAACTGAGCTTATCTCTTATTTTTAAAGTTATAAGACAAGGGAAAATAGTGAGAAGGTCTCAGTTTTGTCCTTGAAGTAATAAACTAAGAATAGCCTAATCAGAAAAAGTGTAAGCAACTAACCAGAAGGCCCCTTTCCTGTATCATGTGGCATTCCCACTTAGTTCTGACAACCATATGACCATAGTTTTGACAGAAATGTGGCCACTTGACAACCCAGCCAGCAGCTGCAGCTACACCAGGTGCTTCCTCTTAGGTCTTTACCAAAAAGCTTGCTGGCGAGAGAAAGTGCTCAAGCTCCCCAAGCTCAACGTGCAAACTTTATTAAGCTCCTGTGACATGCCAAGACCTGCATTAGGCTGCAGAAAGGGCTTCTTAACTGTCCCTCTCAGGGACTCCCCTCATTGTGTAAACCGAACCCTTCTTGGACATTTTTATCAGCCAACATGGAATTCTTTCTGACTGCGTTCCTATCTCAGGTTATACTCGATATAAATGCAAAACTATCAGAAAGCAATGAGATTCCCAGAAAAGGGGGCTCATGTGGTAGGAAAGGATGTGAAACATGCAAGGAAGGAAGGAAACCTGTTGGGGCTGAATTTACCTGTGGACCTGTAACAACCTTTAGACAACAACCATCACCTGCAATTCCAAGCCAGCCAACGACAGATGACATTAAACCAGGTCAGGGCACAAATGGCCTCTTCCCAGGATGAGTGTTCACCTTGGCTGGTCCTTGCTGACAGTGTGAACGTGTGTACTTGAACTTGAAACCTCACATACTTGGATGCCTAGCCCCGCCGTTTCCTCCCTACCTAGAAATCCTGAAGCTTTCTTTCAAGGCTAGATTATTATGGATACTTCACAAATGCAGTAAGTTCTCTCTCTCTCTCTCTTTCTCTCTCTCTCTCTGCCAAGGTTATCTAAAATGAGGAGTGTATGGTCCATTAGCTTCCCCTCCTTAGCTGTTATTCCTTGGAGAATCCATGACCACACCTTCAGATCCAGGTAAACATCTTAGTATACCAAGAACTAGTGTTGACCTGGAAGGGTGAATACTGCCTTCAGAGGCGACAAAAGCAAGCCCTGAAACAGAACCTGTCTGAGATTTCCTCGAAAGGGGAAAAAGGAAGGGGTGGAAGGAGACAAACACAGAAATTCACCCTAAGTCAATGGTTTCTGGCAGGCGAATAGATCTCCTGGTGGACTTCCTCGCAAACTTCTGGCCTCCTTCAATGCACTTAATGGCCTTCTTGATGTCCCGAACCCAGCCATCTCTCTCTTCCAGGAAGGCTGCCTGGAAGAAGTGGTCCTGCTGTTTGGTCGTAGTGATCTTAAACACGAACTGAAAATCAAAACATATGTCATTAGGAATAATTCTTTCTGAAGGGCCGAGGCCCCTTATGAAGCATAGCAGTTGACCCACCCCTGTTCTGGAAGTATTTGGCCAATACCCCAGGGCCCAGGGTGGAGTGTGGGTGGCGGTGAGGAAGACTAGCCCAGGGGGAACCATTCACACTGTGGGCTACGCACAGGCTCAAGAGGTCAGTGTCTGACAAACCATTCATTGTGGCTCTTAATGTCAACTCACCATCCTTTTGCCGAAGTCCTGACAAGGGCTAGTCAGAGTGCTTCCTTTCAGGGGAATCATTCCTTTGGGGCTGTTGTCACTTTTCTTCTTATAAAATTCAATTCCATCTTCTAACAATACAACCCACATGGGTTTCCAGGTATTGAACACACTCCCCTGTGATGACAACCAAAAGAGCCATGTTACAATGTTTTCTAAAACAGTTCTATCGATGGTGCTGGACATAATAAATAGCCTAGTTTTGGCCAGTGTGGATGCAGGTGACTCACATTTGTGTCACCAGGGTGCTAGGAAAGCAGCCTTCAAGGGAAAAGGGAACTGCCATGCTTCTGGAACTTAAAAAAACATGTTTAAGATAAACTGTACGTATCTCTATGTTCGGCCCATAAGCCTCTCATGGGTTATTACCAAGGGAATCTGGTATGGATCTCTGCTCTCCTTCTTGGGCATTTCAGGCTGGCTTTCTGCTCCCAGTCCTGCCCATTGGGTTCAGTTCGGCTCGGGGCTGGCAAATAAATTCTATCTCCAGCGCCAAATCAAACTGAATAGGAGCCGGTGCTTGGGGCTGGACTCGCTGGGACAGTGGCAATATCCAACAGCTGTGTTTACCGCAGGTGTGGAGGCCGTGAATGGTGGCGTGCTAGCTGCAGCTACTTCCATCCTGTGGTCTAATCAGATTTTATCTGAATGTGAATGTCAAGAAGAAACTCGGACAGCAGCGGCCTTGCGTGTGGGGTGGCTACGCTGCGTGAAAACCCCTTGCCAAAGGGTCTGTAACGCCAGAGTGTTGCCGTCCATGCTTTTAAGAAAATCCTTGCTGAAAAAGTCTTCAGTTTCAATTAATGTCAACAGCCCCTTGTAGCAATAAATTAACCATTCTGACTGGATCAAGGAAGTCTCTCTTTCTTGTCTGTATTTTGGGAGAGCTTTGGAAAAGGGGAAAAATACGATTCTTTGCTTCTCATCATTGGACCCATGAGATCACCCTGTCATAATGACCAAAAAATAGAATTATCATCCAGTTCCCAGCAGACTCTGCTGCTTATCTTAACACAAAGAGCCTCTATATAAAGGTCCAGTTGCCCAAAAGGAAGTCTATTTATGCAAAAAGAGTAAATACTTGTGGGACTATCGTTTTGCTTGTCCAAGTGTTTCCTTTATATTAGTTACTAAAATTTTTTTAAATGAAAGCACATTATCTCTTTTCTGCACAGGCAGAATGACTATCCATACTAACACTAGACTGTTTTCCTTTCTTAAAAAATAAGCGAGGTCAGACACTATGCCAGCACAGGAAATAATTTCAGTTAAGTGCCTTTCTGTTTTACATCTACCTGAGAGAAACTCACATCCAGAATATAAAGAGTTCCCATGAATCAATAAGAAAAATGCAAACAATCTATTGTTTAAAAGGGCAAAAGACTGGAAGAGGCATTTCCCTAAAGAGGTTATCCCAAACGCCTCTGAAAAGGTGTTCAACATCATCATTCATCAGGATGATGCAGATGAAAACCACAGTGAGGTACTTCTGCACGGCCATAATATATCCAACATTTTAAAAGATTGAGAAGAGCAAGATTGGCAAGGATGGAAACTGGAGCTCTTATATGCGGCAGGGAGGAGTGCAAACGGGCACATCAAACTGCAGAACCGTGGAGCACGTCCTACTTCTTAGGAGATCTATGTTGAAGTATTAGGGATGAGGTAGCATGATGTCTACAATTTATTCTCATGAAATATGTGTGTATATTTATAGAGAGATATTGAGAGAGACAAAGCAAGTGTGGCCTTGTGTTAACAATTGATAAACCCAGGTAAAGAGTATACAAGGAGTCGTACTAGTTTTCTCATTCGTCTGTGGGTTTGAAATTTTTTCAAAATAATTGGGAAAAGTTAAAAAATAAATGAACAACGTATGACACTATTATATATTAAAATTTGGGATATACTTTTAGGGAAACATAGAGACAAGTATTTTTAATAAAATCATTAAAATTACTAAAAATAATAAAAGCTATATTCACAGAGCTAGGAGTAAGAAGTTGGACTAAATGACTGCTAAATGCCGTTCAAGTCTAAAATTTTATATTCTACCTAAGGCCTATCAAAGATTAATAACTGCCACAGTCACTCAGGGCTTTTGACCTTGGGGCTGGGATAAATTGGGAGAGGTCAGCCAGCACTGCATTTCTTCTGTAGACAATTAAAGTAACGTAGCCTTAGGGGCCTGTCAGCTCTCTCAAAGGGATTATGTGCCATTTGGGACTCGGGGTCATCATGCACGTTGAGAAGGCTGACCCTCTGTAAGAGAAGTGAGACCCACCTCATAATGTGAAAACTTTCTTCCAGGCTTGGTAGGGAGTAGTTAAGTTAAGATTATGAAATTATGGGTGATCTCTCTCCTCCCAGCCATTGCTACAGCCGCCAAATTCTCACTGCTGTGGCCTAACAGCACCTCCTCTCCACTACCGGTATATTTACCCCTTCCTGTCCCCAACCCCTTTGGCACTCACCCAAGAGCAAACCTGGAAGTGTGATCCTGGCATGTCCAGGGCACGGTACATCTGACCAGTAAATGTGGAACTGGAACTAGATTCCAGGTCTCCTGATGCCCAATTTTATGCTCTTTCTACTTCCCCTCAGATGCCACTTTTACTTTGGTTCTTATGTACCTTTGAATGATTCTGGAATCTAAATCAATTTTTTTTCAAGCCACTTAGCTAGCTATATATATAACCTCATAAAATCATATGATTATAATTTTATATAATCATAAAATATAGTATGTTTTTATAATATATATAGCTCATGTCTGGTTTTCCCCCATTATAGACAAAAACCTGTACAATTACTAGCCACAATGGGTGGGTTTTAGATGCTGAGTCAGATTTATTAAAGTTTCCCAGTGAATAACTATTGATCATCATGGGATTGGTATAGTTTAGTGCACAAGAGTCTGACAGTGCATAACACCAAAAGAAGAAATTTCAAAAGACAAGCTATTTGACTGTATATTAAAAAATTGAACTTCGGTACATTTTTTTTTTAATTGAAAAATAAAATATGGATATTTGTAATGTATTATTATATAATCAAAGGTTAATATCCTTAATATGTTTTTAAAACCTCTTTAGAATCAGTAAAAATTTATATACAAACACTCCCTAAATGGGCAAACAATATAAACCAGCCATTCTCAAAAGAAGAAATACTCAGTCTTGAAAGACATAAAAATGTACTTGCTTCAATAGCATTCAAAGAAACAAAACTTAAATATAATATAATTCTTTTTACTGATAAGATTTTTTTAAAGGTTTATAAAGTATATTGGTGAAGATTTAAGGAACTGTGCGTAAAAAAAGGAGCTTAATTGTAGGCCATATAGGAGCATAAGATCTAGAGTGAGGAAAGTAATACTCTGACTTTAAATGGAGTGTAGCCAGTAGGTGACCACGGGCTCCAGAGCTGGGTGGCCCAGGCTCAAATCTCAGCTCTGTCACATGCTAGCAATGAGACCCCGAGCAAGTTCTTATACCTCGTTTTCTACATCTGGTAAATGGGGACAATGTTGCTATCTATTTTTCAGGGTTATTGGGAGATTAAATAAAATAATCCATGTAAATTGTTTATGGCCGTATCTAGAACATAGAACCCAATAAATGTTACCTATTTCCTATAATTCTGTGCTTATCAGGTGCACCTGAAGAATGACCTTGCGTTCAGGAAACCTTAAAACTGAAGATAAACCAGAGCCTGTTCAAAAGAGATGGCATCTTGGCCAGCTGGCATAGGTCAGCGGTTAGTGCTGACCTAGGATCCAGGAGATCATGGTTCGATTCCTGGTCGGGGCACATGCCTGGGTTGCGGGCTCGATCCCAAGCGGGGGGTGTGCAGGAGGCAGCCGATCAATGACTCTCTCAGCATTGATATTTCTACCTCTCTCTCCCTCTCCCTTCCTCTCCTTGAAATCAATAAAAATAAATTAAAAAAACTTTTTTTAAAAGAGTTGGGATCCCTTTTGGAAATTGTTGAAGAAAATGGCTAGGTTTTAGCCCAAAAAAGGAACAGACAGAGCAGATGAGGACTCTCTTCTAAGGTGTCAAACATTGTCATAGATTGTGGAGGTTTCGGGAAAAAACAGTTTGCTGCATAACTTTAGAGAGATAAATTAGTGAGCTCCCTGACACAAGAGGCATTCAAGCATGCTTGTTAACAGAACAGCAACAGAAATGCAGGCCTCAGGTGGGAAGTTCAATTAAAAGTCATTTCCACACTTAATATTCCTTTCAACCCTCAGATTCTACACATCTATCCCAAAGTCTGTTGTCCCTACCATCTCTATGGATATCCTCAATTTCAAGATATCCCTGCCAACCTTTGGGTCTCACCTACAAGCCAAAAATAAATAAATTTTAAAAACATATTTAATATCATCATCTAAAATTGAATACCCTACTGAAAATTTTTAATACATTAGAAGTTACTGTAATATAGGTGCCTGAGTCCTTGGTTTCTATGATTTAGACAAGTTTCTTTATTTGAGACGTGTTCATTCGACAAATAATGATAGAGCAGCTCCTATGCTTCAGACAGTGGCCTGGGTGTTGCGTGTAAAAATGAGTAAGACACAGTCTCTGCTCTTAAACAGGTCACTGTCTAACCGGGGGAGAGGGTGGCGTTGACTGATGACTCCAGTTCACCGCGAAGGACGCACGAACCGCGTATGAGCAAGTCACTTCCTACGGAGTGAGGGCACCCCCTCTAACTTCTCCTTCCCCCCAAACTTCTCTTTTCATATGTTGACGTATAGCTGGAATTCACAGGAAAATCACTTTACGATCAAAACTACGTATTTAACTAAAGCAGAACTGAGTTAGCACGATCTAGTCTCCCATACGCATGAGGCATATTATTTTAAGTTGGTGTTACATTAAATTACATCTTTTTTTCTGCTGCATCATAAATTGTATCTTCTGGTTTCCCAACCTGATCCATGAAATCACTTGTATAACATCCCAGATAAATGGTTATTCTGTGCTTATTTAAATTCTTTGAAGGCAAGGAAACTAATCTATCCAGTAGCATATTTTTTTACATTAATAAAATCTTCCAGGTTGAACAATTTCTCAATAAAATCATACTAGGTAAGAAATAGAGAAATGACACCCAGTGCTTAACAACATGATTTCTGGCATCTTAGGAATTTGGTTTCAAATCTCAACTTTGCCTCTTCCAGGCTGTGTGGCCATAGGCAAGTTACTTAATTTTTCCAAACATTAGTCTCCTCACCTGTAAAATAAAGATAATATAGAGCTACTTCCCACTGTTGTTAAGATCAAATGAGATAATATACTTTAAAGGGCTTAGTGCCGTGGCTAGATTGCAGCAGGTGTTCAAAATGGTTACCTTATAGGCAGATAAAATTGCACAGTTTTGTAGGTAATTCTGTGAAATCATTCTGGCATAAGGTTCTCCTGGGTACCGCCCATCACACAACAGTGCTTTGAAAAAGAAAATCACTGCAATACAAGCCCGAGAGGGCTGCATGCAATGTAACTAGGCCCAGCTCTCTGTGACACTCGGGCCACACAGCTGGGTCTCAGCTCTGCCACTTAATAGCTGTATGACCTTAGGCAAGCCCCTTTCCTTCTCCATACTTAGTTACCTTGTCTGCCAAGTAAGGCTAACAGTTGTGCCCACTTTGGAGGGTTTTTATAAATATTAAGTGCATCGATGCTTTAAATGCTTAGCTCTGTCCCTACTGCAAGGCAAGCACCACATCTCTTCACTAGTAGGGTGATGGGAATCAGTGGGTGGAAGTCCCTGGAGATTATTTCAAGCTATTGCATCCGGGCGGCAAAGTAGCTGCATGAAAGAAGTCCTGGGCCAACGCCCCTGTGCCCTGTTCTCTCTTTTACCCCAGGCTTTCTTCCCTCTGCCATACCTCTCGGCAGGCCCCTCTCTTTCCTGCCCAACCCACTTGTCCTTGGGCACCCTGACGCCTGTGCTTTCTCCCAGCCTAACAGGCCACCCAAATCCCCAAGCTACTCTTTGGATCAGTCCTGCTGCATGCAGTGTCTTCTGGGTTGGCTGTCAAAGAGTCGACAGCACTTTGCTCCATAATCCTCTAGGAAGGAGGTTGGTTCGGGTCACCCCTTCGTGGAGTCCAGGTTATTAACTGCATAATCTGCTCCTCTCTATTTTTTTTAAGCTAAGCTTATAAACATATCCAAATTCGTAGTATGTTTTCAAGGGCCTCCAAAAGATGTTTATGTTTATTGGCTGGAAGTAACCCCTAATCAGGAAGAAAGGGATGTTGAGGTCACGAAACCCAATCTTGCCCGCAGCACAGTTTGTCAGGCCCCACTTTGGCTCTGGTAAGTTCCCCTGACCTCCCTTTTGCTAGCTCGGGTAAGCCTGCCTTTCAGAATGCTGCATGGGATCAATGAGACAGCGGGCTTTGCTGTTAGACAAGCAGGAGGCAAAGGAGGAAACCTGAATTGTGAAATGTGGGCAGTTACCTTGCACAGAAGAAAAACAGAAACAGTTTATAGTCAATACCATTGACTACTGATCCCAAGATACTTGACTTGACAAAATCCTTGAACCAGAGTTTTCCTAATGTTGCATTTTTTACCCCTAACATCTTTATCTCCAATAAATTATTTCATAAAACAAGGAGAAAGTTATTCTTTATTATCACCCAGGTATCTGAAACTGCATCAGAAAAAAACGTGCATGGAGGGAGATCCATACATTATTGCTTGTCATGCTTTAACATCAAAAAACATAGTCAAGGATTCTCACAGCCTCACCAGGGAAAGAGTGTCTTGGTCCTTTCTTCACTATTAACTTGGCGACCAAACCAGAAACCAGTATACATCCCCATGAGAATCTAGAAGAGGCCTTCTATCTATTGAAGTGTATATCAACACTGATACTAATAATCATTGTCACTTATGTAGCACCTACTGTGTGTTAGATCCTTAGAATATATATATTTTTAACCCACATATATGAGGTATCTGAAAGAAACTTAACATCTAAAGAAGTTAAGAACTTCAGCACCTTCCCCGGAAATTCTGGCCTCAGGTGTAGTTCGGCAGCCAATAAAGGGACTATTTCTGAACCAAGCATTTCTTTAAAATGACAAATCAGGGGGCCTTAATACATTACAATACAGAGTGTTCAGAAGGTCCTGGAGAAAAATGCAAAAATTACTGAAGACGTAAATTATGGAAATATCAAAATGAAATTTCACTATTTTTCTTTCTAGTTACATTTGCTAGACTGCCTTTTACAGGCCATCTAGATCTGAAAGAATCAAAAACTATTAATTTAAGTCCATATGCTTAAGAACCCTAACTCTGTCACCCCATTTTCTAATGGGGCAACCTCGCTTATTAAAGATTCAGTCTTCTTTTTCCGTAATTATAGAGTTTAAAATATAAAAACACACACTTAATAGCAGCAATTTTCATGACAAGATGTTTAAATTGTTTTTAAACAAAAAACCTTTGCAGAAAATGTTTCCATTTGCCCACTTTTCTCAGGATACTCACCCAAGCAATTAGGAAAGAAAGAAGTCAACATTATTATTGGTTCTCAGAAACAGTATTGATGTTGGTGCCTGTTACAAAGAATTTACATACACCTTTGTGTGCATATGTGTGTCTTTTCCAAAGGATGCTTCAAAATATGGCCAGCTAGAGAGAATATAGCCGAGGGCTCTCTTACCCTCCCGCATTCACTCATAATTCTCACTCCCATAGGTGCATTTCAAATCCTAACTTAAATCAAATTTACTCGAAGAAAATCCTGGTATACTGGACAGAGCTCAGTGGCACAACTCAGAAACTCGGGTCTCAGAGAGTGGGTTTCTGGTCCCAGCTCTGTCACAGACATGTGACCTTGGGCAGTCACCCAGCTTCTGAGTCTCAATTTCCTCTTCTGCTAATGAGGCAATGAGGCCCGATGATCTAAGGTTTCTTCCAGCTTTAAATTAAAAGAGAATCAGACAGCAACATGTGCCGTTTAACATCCTTGTAAATAGAACATTTTGGCTAACGTGAAACGAACAACCTAAAAGAGCCACAGTAAGCATTCATTCAATGAAAACGCCAGGCATCTGACAGAATGGGCTGAATTCAGTTCATTTCTGACATGCTTAGCTCAGATGGATCAGTGTGAGTGTACCTACTTGTATGGGTGTTGCCCACAGGATGTGAATAAACCCTGTGTGTGAACTCAACATCCTGGAGGGTTTCCCAGTGACATGACATCTGTTCACCATCAGAAGAAACACCAACAGTGGTAACGAAATTCAATGTCCTGATGCCACACCAGGGAGACTAAGCCTTTCTGAGTGCACTTGTGTCTTCATTTCCAATCTTTAAAATAGCGCCCTACCTACCACCTTAATGGCACATTATATAAATTCACTAAGAATTATGAATTATTTCAGCCCAATAGAAAAGATAGCTTTTAATGTATCAGTTCTAAGAAGAAAGCCCAAGAAATAAGCTACAATTAGAGCATTATTACATCAGCTCATCTTTAATCATTTTCTTCTCTCTCCTCCAAAAAAATACAAAAAACAAAAAGGAAGGGAATTGGAATTTAAAAAACAAATGAAGAGCTTCTCCAAGTAACCCCAATAGCAAAAGAGTCTGAGTCATAACAGGCATCCGTGGCTCTTGAAAAGAATATTGATTTTGCTTAGACCCTCGCCTTCCTGTAGCCTGGAATTCCCAGGCCCACGAGATCAAGCTGCGTTGACGCCTGAGCTGAATTAGTTCACCTTTAAGGACCATAATGAAGTGGAACCTGTACTGGCTTCCCTCTGACCATTCCACCCGCCACGATGCTCTCCTAGTTCAACCCAGTGGGTTCAGCATTAAACGTTCCTAAAATGAGTGCATAGAGCATGCAAAGCTGCACTCCAATCCTCCCAACCCTATTTCCAGTGACCACCTTTGTAGGTGGCACTTCTGCTTACCCTTTTCACAAGGTAGCCCTCCCTGATCCGCTTGGGCTCCATGTCAGGTGAGTAGAAGGCCGGGTCCACTCAGACAGGTCCTCTCAGGAGCTCGACCTCCTCTGAGAGCCGAGGCCCTTGTGGGCTGCTTTTCTGCAGCGAGGCCCCTTTCACAATTTCCCGTTGGCTGGCGATCTCATGATCACACCCTCTTCCCCTCACTGGGGTAGTGATCAGAATAAGGAACTGCAGAGAGAAACAACGCCTTCTATGCTAATATTGGAAACTTATTAAAAGAACAATTGTAAATTTGTATTACCATGAGAAAAATCACTCTCCTAAACAGAAGAAAAAGTGGTCAAAGGGAGAAGAAAATGGACAAGAAGACCTTAGTATTAGAAATAGTACTTACTGGCTCTGAAATTATTCTTGAGATGCTGGAGATGCTTGATAATAATGCCAAGAAATTCAAAACCAACCGGTTAGCATAAAAAGGTAGCTACTGTTAAATGAGTGCTTACTTCTATGCCAGGCACTCTACCAGCTGCTTTTTAGCCAGCCTCATTTATTGCAGTCCTTCCAAGAAACCCATAGGGGAAAGTTTATTTTTGTATCTGTCTTAGCCGGCAGTAAACCCAGGCTCAGAAAAGTAAGCAGTTGTCTCAAGGTGACATAGCAGGTAAGAGACACAACCAGAAAAGAAGGGCGAGATCTCACCAGGGGGCTGCTGCCTCCCACCCGCCTGAGGACCACGTGTCACACAGAATGATTATAAAAAACAGTCCATACTCAGACATGTTTGAGAAATGGTACATTACAGTCCCAGCGTGGTGACGCCCCTTCAGATGAACAAAGTCAAGTACCACAGCAGAGAATCCTATTGTCATGGTGTTTAATCTTGTGTTTATCAAACCTATTTGACCACAGAATTCTTTCTTTAACAATTTCTGTTAACATTCTTATTATAGGTTGAATTGTATGCTCCCTTCCCCCAAAAAAGTCTTAACCTCCAGTACCTTAGAGTGTGATCTTATTTGGAAATAGGGTTTTGGGGATGTCATTAGTTTAGTTATGATGAGGTCATACTGGAGTAGGTGGGCCCTTAATCCAATATGACTAGTGATATTATTAGAAGGGAAGTGAAATACACAGAGAGCCAACAGCCATGTGACAACAGAGGCAGGGACTGGAGTGGTACATCTACAAGCCACAGGCTGCAAAAGATTACCTGCAAGCACCAGGAGCTGGGAAAAGCAAGCAAGCTTCTCCCCTAGAACAGCCACCGAGAACACGGCCCTGCAACCCTTTGATTTCAGGCTTCTAACCTCCAGAGCTGTAAGGCAATAAACTTCTGTTGTTTTAAGCCACCCAGTTTGTGGTACTTTGTTACAGAAGCCACAGGAAACTAATACAATTCTGAAAAACTAGTGTTCTATATAACAAACTTTGAGACTGTTTATCTGGCCACGGGAAAACGGTCAGGTTCTTTAATCACTCTGTGCCTCAGTTTTCTCATTCGTAAGATGGGGATGATCACGTCTATCCAATGGGGTCATTCCGAAGATTAAATAAGGTATTATTTGCAAATGTTTAGAAAAGCATCCGGAACATAGTAAGTGCCCGTAAATGTTAATGATGTCTCACTTTCAGGGAGTCCCCATTACTCTAGGGCTGATCCTTCTCAATGATAAATTCAACAGAGATTACAGAAGTAATCATAGGACTAGATTTTTGACTAGTTCCGGTTCCTCACTATGTTAGTCAGCAGTTTTTGGCTGCAGTCAATAGAAACCAACTCTGACTAACATAGGCAAAAAGGAATTTACTGGAAGAGTGTGGAGAGGCTCACAAATTCAAAAAAAAAAAAAGACTCAGGTCTTTGAGAGAACAGAAATCAGGGCAGCTGCGGGTTCCAGGAAGCAAGAGTGAAAGGACAGTTTCTTTGAGACACCACGCTGAGAGAATTTCAGTGGTTTCCATGCTCTTCAACAGTTTCCAGGGCCCCGGCCTTTGATGGAACTAGCCTGGCTCAGTGCTTACCTCTCAGCCATCTGGACAGTGCCTGGTGGGGGCGGGCTCATCCCCCAAAGCAAAACCAGGGCACTTTCAACAGTAAAAGAGTGAAAGGCACCTACATCAGCAAAGCCCCAGGAAATTCAGGAAAAAGGAAGATCTGTTCTTGGGGTTTTCTAACAGCCTCCTGATTCACTCTCCTCCTTTTTTCCAACTCTGTATCTAACCAGTGATCATTGCCCCTCTAGTTTTCACTTTTCATTTTATGCTAATGTAGATTATATAACATTATAAATGTTTTGCCATCGGTTTCCCGTTGCACCAAAATTAGTTGGAAATTATTAGAAAGTTTGGGGCAGTAGGAGTGGAAAAAAATCAGTATTTGATGGCACCTGAGCAAAACAGAAACCAAATAAAAGAATGATTTACCCTGTCTGCATTTAAACAAGTATTTTACTATGTCTGTATTTTTACAGGCAACAGAAACAGTGCATAGATTTACCAAGTCTCATTTCATGGCTAAATTTGCCTCATTTTGTTTAACTAGCCAAGTGACCTCCAAACTGTAATGTTTTCCCCCTTTGTCCAAACACGACCAGAGGTCATAAAGAATCCTTACTCCAAAATATCATATTTCCTGGATGCCTACAGTATAAAAGCAACCCCCTGTGTTCTGAATAATTTATTTCAGGAAATATGTTTTGAATGCTACCATGTGCCAGGCCCTGGACTAGGTAAAATGTCTTGGGACCAAGTAGCTTCTTAAATTTGTTAATCAGCTGAACTTTACCACGGTGGATTAGAGGCTGCCACTCTTTTTGTGTGTGTGTGTTTTTTTAATATATCTTTATTGATTTCAGAGAGAGGCAGAGAGAGAGACAGAAACATCAATGATGAGAGAGTCATTGATCGGCTGCCTCCTGCACGCCCCTGACCAGAGATCGAGCCCACAACCTGGGCATGTGCCCTGACCGGGAATCGAACCCCCAGCTCCTGGATCCTAGGTCGATGCTCAACCGCTGAGCCACACCCTGCGGGGCAAGGCTGCCACTCTTGCTTCCCCTCCTGCCACAGGTCATGGCGCCTACTCAGCAACACCTAGTGGTCAGTAGAGGGAATTGTCTGAATGAGTGACATGTGGGACCTTTCTCTTACAAGAGTTGAAGCAAATGCTCTTCCTCTGTCAGATCCCATCTCCAGGTCAGGTCATTAGAACCTCTTCCAATGTCTTTTTTATCTATGTGTGTCTAGGCTTACTTTTGAAAGTCTCCTTCTGTCTTCCTTTTAATTCTCCCACATTGAATCAATATCTTAGAAACATTCTTATAGTACATTTTATTGGTGTAAGGAAAATTTAAGACTTCGAAATAAGCAAAAAAGTTTACAGCACGTCTCCAATGGGAAACTATGCTTCATCTACAGCACACGTTTACAGGTTATCTGACTCTATGGTGTTTGTGTTTTTCCTTGTATTTGAATTATTTTACAACCCTATAAATTGTGGATAATGGATAGCAATGCAAATCATTCATGTCTATAGACATGCAAATAAATTCTATCTGATGAAGGTTCAACAGACTCCACTCCCCTACCCCACCCAACTCCACACACACACCCATAGAAAAAAACAGGTTTTGTCCATTTGAAAATTGATTTTAACATTCTTTTACTCCATATAAAATTGTCTTTGACTTCTCCTTTGAATTGGTTGTGACTTCTGGCTGGTTCCCTCCTTCATATATAAACTAAACACAATTTTTATTGTATTTTATGTGAGTCATGATTGTATTCTTAAGATTTTTTAATTTATTTTTTAAATTTAAAATATTTTTAAATGTATTCTTTAGTATTAGGAACTCAAAAAAGAACTTCATTGATCTGAGAAATATCAGAATATTGTTAGTGCTAAACCTAAATTGAGGGAAAGGTGTCAAAATGTGTGACGAGTCTGAGGTTTACCCTACTTGCAAGCTAACAAGTTAGTCTGCCACAGCTTCATGGAAACTGCCAAAGACCCAAGACTTTTGGACATTATGATGGGACAAAGGACATTGTTACAACACTGCAAGGAGATTAAGCTTCATGTTTGTGTTCTTTCTCTTGCCCCCAAATGCTACGAGGCAGGGTGGAAAGGCCCAGAAGGATGCTGCACACACAAGAGGTTTGCATCACAGCTTCAAGAGGAGCCCTGAGCTTAGGGAACCCAAATCTTTATAATGGGCTACAAGCAAAACTGCCTGAATTTTGTCTCATTGTCCATTTTACACTGGACAGAAAACAGGTCTACCCTTGCCCTGGAAGGAGACACTACATCTTTCAAGACTGTTGTTCACTAAACAAACCTCCATGAAAAGGTACTGCTCCTATTTGCATTTATAGAGAAACATAAGAGTTTCCTGGAAAATTATCTCTCAACCAAGGAAAAGCCTTACGTGTCTGATTCATGTAAACACATTAGCGAGCATCTAATTGGTGCCCAATGGGCCTCAGGCTCCAAATGGGAAACCCTGTCCACACACTGAGAAACTCCCTCCCAACAGGGACATAGACACAAAATTCATGTGGCAATGATAAAAGAAATATGAAAGTATGAATATACATACCCATTTGGTTCAAAGAAAGCATTTCCACGCATATATTTCCTTGCTTTGTCAGTTGACAGGGCCTAGAAGCAACAACATCCTGGTAGCAACAAGCATAATGCTGTGGATTGAATGTTTACGCTCTCCACTCCACCCCCAAATTCATACGTTGAAATCCTAGTCTCCAATGTGATGGCATTAGGAGGTGGGGCTTTGGGGGGGTAATTAGTCCATAAGGGTGTAGCTTTCATGAACGGGGTCATCACCCTCACAATAAGACAGAAGACAGCTTTCGTTCTTTCTCTTTGCTCTTTAGTCACATGGGGATACAAGGAGAAGAAGGCAGTTTGCAACCTGGAAGAAGGCCCTCACCAGAACCCAAGTATGCTGGCACCCTGATCTTGGGCTTCTCACCTCCAGAACTGTGATAAATAAATTTCTGTTGTTTATAAGCCACTCAGTTTGTGGTACTTTGTTAGAGCAGCCTGCACAGATTGAAACACACAGCTAGT